GATCAAATTGCTTATTTATGGCGAGTAGTACTTGGTTGGAGCATCATTTGAAAAATTAAAATCATCAAGAATTGAAAACAATTATATTTTAAGTGAAATGTCACGAAAGTGCAAGAAAAATGTTGACAAAATACGGTTTCAATTCAATATCAAATACATCAACATCTGTAAGAAGCTGACTTTCAAGACAGGCTTGGAGTAAATGTTTGAGTTGAGGTTTTAAGCAATCGGTTTATTGGAGCAACTTTTTTCGAATTATCGCAGAAAAGGAAGAAAATGTTATGCCTTTTGTTGAAAATTTATCTCTCTATTTTCTGGATGTTATATAGATATCTAGATGGAAACTAGATTAGAATTTTTACTGGAGCCGCATTCAAAAAAAGAGGTATATAACGCCACCTGAGGCCGATCCTATAAATCAAATTAATGAGGTCTTAAGAATAATCACTAGCTATTATGTAATATTATCTCATCAGTCAGATGGATATTGTTTTTGTGTTATTATTTGTTTGTTTCGATTGTTTTTTATTCCAAATTGAACAGAGAATAATAAAAATAATACTTTTGGAAGTTGTTGCAGAAAACTGCAACAAAGTCCAACTTTCAGTCCGGTCAAAGCGAAAGTATGTTTTTTTTTTTCACATTTATTAAATGGTATTCTATAAAAAATGCTGTTATATTTTTTTTTTCAGTTAAAATATGATCTTTTTTACATGAACTGAGGAAAAATGATATAATGAAATTTTTTAACCTAAAACTATTAGAGCCATCGAAAAAAGTTAAAGAACATTTCCTACTCGGCTTTTCCCGTAGAATATATAAAAATGGAAAAATATACAGGGTGTTTCATTTAAAACAAAGGCAAAATCAGAAGTGCTATTCAATTGCTTTTTATGTCAGGGTGTTTAGTTATAGGATTTTTAAATGTAAATTTATATATATTTTTTTACAGAGCTAATAATTTCATTGACACGCGGTATACTACCAGGTATATAAAGTACGTTTGAGAGTTCCAGTTTCAGCCTTTTCTGCAGGACATAGAGATTGGCGAAACGTCAGCAATTTCGACTAAGCAAAAGCCGACGCAGGAGGAATCCAGAAGTTCTGTATGTTTTATAATATTGATAGAAACAGAAGTTTGTGATTTTTTGAAAAATAGCACATATTCTTTTATTTTTCTTTTATGCAAAAAATTAACTCAACGTGAAGTTTCTTATCTTAATTGCAATAAAATTTTTTTTGTAGATTTTGCTAAAAAACAATTTAAAAACAGGGCGAGAAAATATCTGAAAACTTGATTTGTTTCGGGTTTTTGGTTAAGTTCAGAGCGACTCTATTAGGAAAATAAGCATGTCACTCACTGCCTTAAACCATTGAGGACAGCAAACATAAATACAGCTGTTGGAGAATCGATAATAAACTTTTAGGAAAGCTTGCTTAGTACCAAGGGATTTCGCTTGATATATGCGAAAAGTATGTGATTCGTGAAATGTTATGCGATTACATGGCAACGTTGTGCAAAATTCGTCTATTTTCAGAATTCTCTTACAATCAAAAACTGTGAAAATTATTTTCGACTACTATATGACATAATTTCTATATTATGCATTAAGTTTGATAAATGTCATTTTAGTCACGAATTTAATTTAGCAGTACTGGAGCACAGCGGAGCGAGCGCCTAATAAACTAGTGACTGATGAGGTTTATCCACGTTTTGCATATTGTAACTTTTTCTACGACCATTATTTTTTGGGTACATTTTTGCAAAATAGCACGAATACGCTTAGTAATGTATGACGCGACCATCAGAATTGACAAGCATCAAAACACTAACTTGCACTTTGCGCCATTTTCTTTCCAAACAGCGATTTCCGCACACAATACTATCGTAAAAAAGCCGCATCTAAACTTATTGACGATCTGTCAGCATCCAGTAAATGCAAACACTTAATTAATTAACACATAATAAATGTGCTTTTTTAGACGAAGTAGGATCGCTCTCTCTCTCTGTCTCTCTCTTCTGCATATGAATATGTGGAGAATCGGATAGTAATGTTTATTGGTAAAAAGCAGATGTTTTAGTTTGAAAATGTAGTTATATAAAAACGTAAAATCATTTCGTACCTTAAGATGAGTCATTTATCTTTCTTCAAAAATCTCATAAATCCTTCCGTCAGGCAAATTTGTATATGATTTCGTTAACCCGTCGACGGGTTCGTTTACTACTTTACATTGTTTAGAACTTTTATCATAACGAAAATAAGGTTAACCTTAAAATAATCCAAATATTTATCACGAAAACCGATGTTTCTAGGAAAAAGGAATTTCAGAGCCTTCATCTTTCTTGTACACAGCATAAATATTTCTGCAATAAATCACTCTAGGGAATGCCACCCAAAAAGTTTCCAATTGTTGCTCTAGAATTAGTAAGTTCAAGTTAGCAACTTTCGAAGCTTTTTATGCACCAAATGCAAGAATTTTGTATCCGTAGCAGTAGAAAAAAAGGTGTTAGTGCATTTTTCAGAGATCTATTTAACAAAAAACAAATCAATATTGAACCATAAACAAAGATTTTACAAGGGTGTAGGGTATCTATAATTAAATATAATTCATTTTACTTGTTATAATAAAATTTCCTTTATTTTCGAATAATAATTTTTTAAAAAGCAAATTAAAACGTGTTTGAGGTGATCAAATTGTTTCAATCTTAAGGACCCCCATGTCCTACATCCAATATACTTTCTCTTGGACCGGTAGTTTTCGGGTACATTTTTTCAAAACAACACGAATACATTCACTGAGTGACGTGTGACATGACTGTCAGAATTGACAAAGGTCAAAGTTCAAATCGTGGGTAATATCTCAGAAAACATCCGATAGCTCCCAAACCTGTGGTTAATACTCCGATCTACATTATTTATGATCATTATTTTGGAAGGAATAACGATGGACAAATTGCCTAAATTGTCCTAAAACCAAGTGGTCCTACTTTTATTTGAAAAATGGAAGAAATTTTAATGATATATTGTTCAATTCCCATTATTTATTTTTTGGTCGCCCTCTCATCCTTTTGCATTTATAACTCGGAATTTAAAAATGTAAAGTTGGTTGCCAGTTTGTAAGAACTGTTAAAAATTTGATGACATTAATTATAATACTAATAATTCTAATTTCTTGTGTTTATCTGAGGACGTGTTATAATGTAGCTCTGAAACTCGTCTCTAAAAACATGTTGGATCACAAATAATTTAATTTAATAACTATGTCGGTTGTAGAACTGCTTGATGGTCGTGTTGGTTACTGAAATACAATGCTTCCACACTTGCGGTTAATGTTTTGCCAAAATCAGGTAGGTCTTTGTTATGGAAATTTGGCAACTAAAGCCAGATGAATATTTCAACATTGTTATTGTTTAAAATATTATAAAGTTTCTGATAAATTGCTCTCTGTTTTAGTTCGAACTCCTGGACAAATTTCTCTAGGCCATTAAATTTCTATCGTGCGCCTGCAATAGCTGTCGCTTTAAGGATTAAAAGGGTTTGAGTAAGGATAAAGGGGAATGCCACTTCCATCCACTGAGCTTGATTTTTGTTTGGGGTTTGTGGAAAAAAGTTTTTGTTTAAATCCCCGAACGGAATTGCCAAAAACGTGTAGGTAGATATTTAAAACATGTCACATATATTTTATATAATGGGTATGTAGATTTATGAAGATTTACATTGTGATATCAAGTATTAGTCCTAGCACTTGTTAAAGATAGTTTTGGATTTTGCTTTCATTTCGTGTAGAATATTGCAATGAGTGATATAGAGTGATCGAACAGACAATCGTTAAAAGACATCTAAAACAAGTTGGTGAAGTTATAAGTGAAAAATTGCTATGGAAAAATTTAGGTTATGTATGTATGTATAGGTATATTGAGGTGTAGTTGTGATATTGTATGAAGAGTGAAATAAATATGTAATAGAATCTCAAAAAAAACTTTAAATATTAAATAAACTGACTTAGATACATAGTGGCCTCAAAATTCTCAATTCGATCAAATTGTAATTGGTGGATCTAAAATAGTCTGATAACTCGGTATGCTTGTAATTTAAACATATTAGTAGATGATATCTTGAAAAAACAGTAGGCATTTTCTATAAATCTCTGTGACTTAAAAGTAACGTAATTTTATGCAGAAAACATTTTAGTCGATTTTGTTATTGAGTAGTTTAAAGATTAAAATTTTAAAGGGGTGGACATATTGAGAGCACAGGAGTGATAGAGAGAAAGAGAGACATACAGTGAGAGAGAGAGAGAGAGAGAGAGAGAGAGAGAGAGAGAGAGAGAGGTTAAAAAAAAAGAGATGTCTAAAATATAGGGGTTTACCGGATAAGGTGATTAGTGATTCTGGACAAATCTATGCTACTACTTTTCATTTTAATTGTATTTTGATTTTTTGCTATATCAATTAAGTATATCACGTATACTCCCCAACTGAACCCTGAGTATTATTAAAGTATTATTTGTTTTAGACTATATAATCACCTTTTTACGCAGTACAAGGTCATTATTGTCGCTATAATTCATTGGACAATATTTTTTACCGAAATTATTAAGTAAAATTCATAGCTTAAATTGAGTTTCTACCATATGTTCTAATTTGCAATTCTCAATGATTTTGACCGTTTCATTATGCAAAATGGCGGCATTGAGTAGTTAATAGATCATTATTTTCACGTGCATGTTTTTCCCGAAACGCTCCCCAAAACCAATCACACGAAAAAGATATCGCAACGGATTAAATTAGAATTACTTTGAATTCACGTAAAAGCGGTATTCGGAAGCCGTGATTCGGTCAAAATATTTAGACCGGATTTTTTATTGTGGACAAGCAATTTTTCAAGTTCGAGTTTAGACAAATCTGGCGCCAGCGCCGAAACGCCTATCGGCTGAAAATTCGCGCGTTCCTTTCTGCATCACTTCAGCGCTTCAGTATCGCTACGTTTGCGCTTTGCTGAAAAGGCAACGCACTTGTGTCTTCGAACGCGCGCTATACGCGTATTAGATGCGAAAGGATTTAAAACTTTTTGGAAGGTGAAATTTTGGAACTTTTGCGACAAATCGACTTGGAATAGGTAGTTGAAGTATAGAAGAGGTAAGTTGTGTACCGTTCAAATGCAATTTTGCTGATTACCAAACCATAAGTTATATAATAATTTAATTTAATATATTTTTGTGTTTCTCGGGATTCTGTCAAAAACTATTTAGAAAACGTGTTTTAATTATTTGATATCAACCTTACAATTAACTAATAAGTTGCGGTAAATAAGTTATAGGCATAGGCAACTAATAAGAGAGTTTTTAATGTTGTTTTTCTCAGTTGCTAACTATATTTAAATTTCTTTTGATTTTTATATTTGACTCTGATTTCAAAATTTTTGTGATGATAGACTGTAAAAAGTTTAGTGTATATATGCTTGATACTATATACATTATTTTATGGCATTTGCCAAACATTTTTTTTAATTCCAAATAAATTGTGTCCTTTGCGAGAAATCTGAATATTGTAATTTTTGAATTATAGTTGTTATCGTTCTTTTTTTTGTTATTTTTCATGGTTTTTGGGTATTTCTGCTATCAAGGCGCGATTCTTCAAAATACATTTTCAACTTGAAAAAGTTGCCATAAATTTTTTATTTCTAATAACTAGGAATTTTCTGAATGGAAAAATTTCGGTAGAAAGTGGTACATTAAGTAGTCTGTTAATAAAAGCATAAAAGGCGGACATTTCTTCTGCCTTAAAGGGGCGTATACAAATAAAAGTTCGGATTCTAACTATGCCATTCATTTAAATTCAGAAATGCACAACTTTGACGATAATTTTGATATTTTACAAAAAGCAAAAAACTAAATTTGTTGGAAGCTACGGAGATTAACAAAATGAGATATTCGAATTTATTACTTAATACCAATTGGATTTAAATGCTTCTCCGTTGTTAAATTTACATTTATAACCCCACAAACTACCTGTTTTTTTATATAGGTGTTGGAATATGGAATTTTTTAATAAACTAATAATCAAGACATTCGATTACACAAATTAAATTACAACAAAAAATGTTCAGATTTTCACAGTTTTTAATGCTTTTTGACAGCTATTTGTCCTTTATCAAATACAATATATATATATATATATATATATATATATATATATATATATATATATATATATATATATATATATATATATATATATATATATATATATATATATATATATATATATATATATATATATATATATATATATATATATATATATATATATATATATATTCTCACGTATTGATTCACGGATGGAAAAATGTGATGGCACGAGTTGACTTATCAAGTTCACTAATCATTTTTCGATATATACGCCAGGAAATACTCCAACATCAAAAAACAACTCTAAGTGTTTTTGTTCGGGCTTAATGGTCGTCGTTGAGTGGAATTTCTTCCTGACGTTTCGCTAGCACGGGCACGTTCTGTTATGGTTGTAATGATTCCTCTTAACAGAACGTGCCCGGAGGATGTGTGATCCACAACACCTGGAAGTAGAACTATATCATCTCAAAGAAGGCTATGAGGCCCAGGACTGCCTCACGACAAGACCCGGGTGAACAACTAACGGTTACGAGTGCTATCTACCTTTTATTCCTCAAGTGACATACAGGGTCGGAAAAATATTGAAAAAGCATAATATTAACACAATATTTAAATCAACAAGGAAAATACAACAAACGCTAAGATCAGCCAAGGACAAGAGAGATCCACTGTCATCCGCCGGAGTCTACCCCATACCATACACGTGTGGAAAGGTGTATGTTGGAACGACAAAAAGATCTGTCGCAACCAGGATAAAGGAACATCAGAGAAACTGCAGACTGGGACAAACGGACAAATCGGCAGTAGCGGAACACGCGCTCAGTGAAGGGGATCACAACATTCTTTTTGGGAAGCCAGGATTACGAGAAGCAATAGAAATCCATAAACATACAAATAATTTCAATAGAAAAGAAGAGACACTGCAGCTCAAACAAATTTGGAACCCCATCTTAAGGAACACAAGGACAGCCCCAGTAGTCACAACCACTCATACGTTAAAATGCCCCGCCCCCTCCCCATTTTTTTTTGTTAAGATTAATTAAAAAATTATTTGGTAATATTGATTTTCTATGAGAGGCTTGAACATATGTCTTATTTTATCTAGTAATTTGTAAAATATGTGATAAATAATGTGTTGCCCTGTAAATTAAATGCAAACCATACTTTTAGGAGGCGTAAATCTGGTCTTGCCAACTTCAAACGTTTAAACAAATTTAAAGAATTCAGTGGAGTACTAAAATTGCGTATTTGAAGGAAATTCTGAGAAACTATATTTATTTCTCGCTGATGTAGACGATTTTACTATATCTACTCTACATCTATTGACGTTTGATTTAAATATATTTGCCCGCCGTATTTGAAATATGTTAAAAAAAGTAAAAGTTAAAAATACTTTCAAAAAATAAATTTCTTTTGTTGAGGAAGATCGAAGTGCGCACTGTCCGAGAACATGAATGGCATTTCGCTAAAACATTCACTTTCACATATATTAACCAATATATATAACAAATTTATTTTGCTTAATTTTTAAACAAATCTACACTCGGTTTCGCAAGTAACAGTGAAAATTAATCATTTCCAGACACGAAGTCGTTTTTTATGAAAATAACGTTTACTGCCATGTGTTCTTGATCATCAAAATCCAGGAACAGAAGTAATTTATGACGGGCAATTAACATCATTTCCAATATTAAAGACACGCACCGTTGTCGTCGGAAAATGAAACGTCCTTCGTCATCAAATTGTGGTTGAGACATTTGTCGTGTTATAGATGATTCCAGATGATGAAATATATCCTCAATAAATTGTTATTACGTTGGGGAGATAATCAACGCGGATGAGACGTCAGTTCTTTGCGAGTGCGAATAACATAAGTAGAAACACCGGTTTATTTCTTGTGTTAGACAATGTTTGAGCGAAAAATAGGCCGTCGTTAAAATGTGAATTTTATTAAATCTTTGAATAAAACTTTAAAACGCTCTGCCTAGCCTGCTATTTGTTAAACTAGTGTTTTTGTTGTGTGGGGTTTTTGAAAACGGAGTAGTATATTATGCAACAAGTGCGGTAAACGGCATTTGACTCACGAGTTTATTTGACACGAGCGGAGGGATAAAATAAAAATAAATAAAATGAGACATATGTTCAAGCCTCTCATAGAAAATCAATATACCAAATAGTTTTTTCTAACGTTAATCTTAACAAAAAAAAATGGATAGGAATTAACTACTCGGGACGACCGTTGCCTTTTTTAAAAACTTTATTTAAAGTTACAACCGTTTAAAATGGTCTGTTGCAATAACATATCTAGACAGAACTCCCGTCGACGCCGTTAAACTACGTTTTCATATGTAGAAATTGGACTCTGCTGAGTCAGCATTCTTGGATCTTCGCTAGTGAGATAACTTCTCCCCCGTAAGCTTCAACTATACCGTCAAGAGGGGTAGATGAACACATTTTGGATCTTTAGGTTCTTCGACTTCTTGCTGCTGTTTCCTGTTGTATTTGGTGCATCTTGGCTGTAACAATCTTCTATAGCATGTATACAAGGATGGTCCATATGCTCGGATACTTGTAAAACTCCGAGAAATTCAGAAGTGGGTAATTTAACTGAATTTCATTCCTTAAAAGGTTTAGTTCATCTAACTTAACTTCATTTAATTTGACTGGATCTGGCAGATCAGGAAATAATATTGGCTGAGTACTAAGGTTGATTGATCTGACATCACTAATTATTGTGTGATGATCAATTTTGACGAGGCATCCTCTTGGAATTTTAGCTTGCTATGTCCCATGAAGACTGAATCTCATCCTGAGCGTTGCATTTAAGTTTAACGCTCTGTACATCTGGGACAACTAAAATCCATTGATTTGAATTTTCTAGTTGATTAACTATTAGCTGGGTGATTTTAAGTTGTGTTTTGTGGCAATTTGTGATTTGTGCTCAACAGGGCTATTTCGCAAAGACTGCTGTTATCGTTATTCTTGATTTCTTGTTGGGTGCAGACGAATAGACCTTTAGTAGCCCCCTTGCAGGGCCCATTATAGTATGCATGTTGCAATTCACTTTTTATTAAATATTTTGCACGCGGTAAAACAACCCTAAACCAACTCTCGTGTCTTATGGGGATTGAGTAGAGATGAAAGTAATCGAAAATTATTGGATTAGTCATTGGTATTCTCAAAAGGTAATTGATTTTATTATTCAAAATAAAACAGTCAATAGTAATTAATTTCTCAAAAATAAAAGTGTTTTCTAACGTTACAGGTATAATCATTTGGTTTTTTCCAACTTTGGTTTGCAAAATAAGAAGTTCTTTAAATAAGTCGTTAATCTTAATTATACTTGGGTGAATAATTTTCAATTTCGAGAAAGTTATTGAATTTTCTAAGCCTTGTAAAATTGATAAAATTACTTCATAGGTGTTGATCATTTGTACCAAAATATCTTTAATCATCAGTGCGTTCTCCCTATAGGCTGACTTTTGAACAATAAGAGCTATTTAATTGATCTTTGAGTATTTGTCATTTTGACACATTTTCTGTAAAGTCTGATTAAATTTTATAAGAATGTTAAGGGATAAAGAATTTTGTTTTAGAATGCCTTCGGCTAACTCATTTCGGTTGCGCTGCAAGTTTTTAATAAGCTGTTCAGAATGCTCGACGTCAGATGCGTCAAGATTTCCTGTAATAGCCCTAAAAACAGATCCGAGTGCATTTATTTCAATCCTAGATTCCAAAATGTTTAGAAGTTTAAGATAATTTTGACTATCATTGTAATATCCCGGGTGGCTGGATATTATTTTTGAGACATTTTCCTTTTTTAAATATAATTTATTAGTTTCCAATATTATTGGATTTAAATCAAAATAATGGATTAAAGTGTAAGTGTATTCGATTGATTTTGCATTTCCCAATTTTACTGGCATAATTCGGGGGTTGTTGTCCAATTTTCTTAAAGTTATTTCATCATAAAGGCCACAAGTGAGGCCGGCAAGCCTGAAATGTAAA